AAGCCAAGAGTTGGCGTGCTCAAAGAAGACAAATGATTGTGACTGTTGTAAGAGCACCGCGGTAAATGATGTTGACGCACCAAAACCTAGATCAAAGACGCTGCGCATCGTAAAATTTGTAAAGTTGAAGGCCATCTCCTACTGACAGAATTCAGGAATATGTCGCAGTGCGAATATTTGATCGAACAATCGACACCTGGTTGTGAGCCTAACCTAGTTGACTCTGGTGTTTGAGTCACGCAGAATGGAGCCCGCTCGAGCATGATAATGTTATGGATCTCTTCGACAAAGTCCGTATCCTGCCATAGTTCTTCTATTCTGTTATATCCTTCTGCCCAAGGATACAAAAAATAGACGGATGGGTTCCGGTTATCGGAAACTACATTTTCACCCAAGGATATCAGTATTGAGAAAAGACTTGTCGACTTTATCTGGATGCCTTGTTGTTATCAATCTGAGTATTATATCTGTTTTTTTCCACGGAAAAAGAATCATGCAAGGTTGCATAGACCGAAGAAATAAATTACACCTTTAGAGAGAGAGACGGTGATTGTGGTAGGTGCCCTCGAATAGTCCACTCTAGCAATCGACATTTACTTAACAAAAAGTAAATCCGTACAGGGGTCTAGCCAGTAACATAACGACTAAATTTTGAAGCTTTTGCTGTCGCCTATGTTTGAGCTTCGTTGTGTGGAAGTTGCCACTTCAGCCCATAATTTATGCGACCATCTCTAGTCACTTTTCACTCTGTCTTTGGAGTTAACAGGGAATAACCTCGTAATAGCACTTAGTTCAAACTCTTTGGACAGGCAACCTTGGGCTTTTTGAGTTCGTCTAGTGCTTGCGGCGTCCCTCAAATGTCACGCAGACTGAGGAGTAAGATGATGATCACTTGTTACTATCTCCTCCTTCGACTCTGGGTGTTCAGCTGGAACCACTATCCGCGTTCAGAGCGTTGAGCATGCTCAGTTATAGATTTTTGTCTCAAGGCGTCTTCCCGGCGACCTTTTAAGTGCGGTTTAAAAGTGTACTTTCAGACGTTAGTTTTCAAAATCTATCATCGGTCTTTCATCGTGCACCTTGAAATGACGATGGAAGCGAGAAGGCTTTTGAAACATCAGCTAAAATACAACTTGGTCCCAGAAATTGCCCCTTCTTATTCTTCCTCTTCCGGGGATGATGAAAAGAATAAAATGACTAAATATAGGCCGAGTGGCTGGCCGTACGACTGTTTGAGGTGTTTTTGGTGATGCTAATACCACGCGTTAATGATCAGCTGATATGAGAACTGAAACTACCGTATTTTGAACCCAACATTAATTCCTTATCTGGTTTCCCAGTAATCTGCCGTATGAGTGAAGATCGAATGACTATTCTTAAGTCCCGAATCGCTTTTGCATCGAGGTACATTGTCTCATAGGATTTAAATATCCCGTACACGACTCGTCATGCATGATTTCATTTAAGGTTTGTGGACCTTTGGTTTGTTTCAGCATTAAGGCATATCAGGTCTGCGGTTCAGGCCTCGACCTGTCTAAACAGGCTCGGGGCTTTAAAATTACACAACTGTCTTCTGCGAAAAGGTATTTTGCAAAAACACCGAGACACCGCCCTAGAAAGGTAATTGTTTTGAACGAATGGAATTCTACACTTCCATCGAGTGTTCAAAATTATCTTTCGGCGACATAGACTAAGAGCGATTACTGAGATACCTTTAAGAACTAAAATGTTTACGACTTAAATGCTAAAAGCGCATATTTAAAACTTTTTGACTGAATTGCAGTTAAGACAGTGCAGCCAGCCTATTGACCAGTCACGCACCGACCGGAACGTTGCCTTAGGTCAAGAA